TGCTAAGGATGACACAAAATTACAAAAGAGTCAATGATTGTATTTAAAAATGATAAACTTGTTTAAAACCAGGACTCAAACAAATTTATGTAACTTTTCCATATATTTATATATATATTTTAACGTGATACACATGATAAACACTGTCCGATAATAAAATATATGAAAAACAAATATATATATTCTTAAACTTCATGGATCACAAAAACGGCAGAATGGCAGTAAAACAAAAACATATATAGAGAATTCTTAAAGTACAAGATGGTAAAGACAGAAAATAGATACACAAGATATAACATTTAATCAACCAAATTTTTAAAGGCAGCTAAACAGGATTATTATAGTAAACTATCAAATGAGAATAAGAGTAATATAAAAAAAACATGTGGAATATATTATATACTTTATTAGGAAAGGACCCAAAGAAAATAATTATCCACAATATTTTATGAGCAATGATCTGATTATTCATGATACATTATGAGGATCAACCAAGACTGGCAGAAAACATTTCTGATCCAATAGAGAGTTTAATGTGGAACTCATATACAAAAGGAAATACAAACTCAATGTTTCTCACAGCAGTGGAAGATATTTTGAGGTACAAAAATAAAACTTAATGTGGTGACATGATTAGGACAACAGGCTAATGACCTATTGATGCAATTATAACCTGTCTTTCAAAATTGGTACATTTCCAAACAAAACTGCAATACTTACACCATTATACAAACCTGGAGATAGACACCAATTCATAAACTATAGGCCTGTTTCGTTACTTGCACAATTTCCAAAGATTTCTGAAAAACTCTTAATAAGCAGACGAGAAAACTTAATTGATAAACACAACTAGTTTCTGAAAGTCAGTATAGATTTAATTCACAAAGATCGACAACTTTAGCAGTTCTGGAATTATTAGAGGAATTCGGGAACTCAATAGAAAAAAAGAAAATGCAATTGGTCTGTTTTTTCATCTAAAACAAAATTTGACATAATTGAACATGATAAATTAATCAGGAAATTAGAGCATTATATTGTGGGAGGGGCAGTTGTGGAGTGGATAAAGAGCAATTTAAGTAGCAGCAACAATATGTGGAAATATGTAATTATCAGTAGCTTATTATTATCGACTACAAGCTCCACTGGAAACCTCACATCAAACATGTCCAGAATAAATTACCTAGGAGCATCACAATTTTTAGTAAAGCAAAACATGTTCTGATGTATAAAGCATAACACATTATTTACTGTCACTAATTTTACCATACCTGAGCTTCTGTGTAGAAGTCTTGGGTAATCCCTTAAAACCTCTATGCACGCTGCACAATAGAACCGACAAGATCATTCATAGGTCAGCTATCATGACCAAATCAACCCATTATTTATTAATTCCTGCTTTATTATTGTTTGATCTGCCACAGTTTCAAATTCCACTGCTAATGTATAAAGCAAGAAATATCCGACAGCTTACAAAAACACTAAAAAGAGCACTAAATTATAACAATTATATAATATGTCATATTTGTAATAAATGCATGTATTTTTATTTCATTAATGGTTTGTCTTACATAAAGTTATTCATTCATGACCCTTATGCAAAATGTTTTGTCTCAAAGCAAACCAATATTGAACAAGATCTTTATCCAGCTCCATCTTTTTTTTTTCTTTTTGTCATTACACTGTCAAAAGTACAGAGCAACGAAATGAACTCTGCATTTCTCCCGTCCCCTTGGGGAGCAGTGGGCTGCCATTGTGCGGCGCTCGGGGAGTAGTGTGGGATTAAGGGTATCTGCTCAGGGATTCAGAGTGGCAGTCTGTGGGTGTGGGGCTCAAACTCAGAACCTCAGGATTCCAAGCGCAATGCCCTAACCACGAGGCCGCCACTCCCCAAACATTAAAACAATACCCCATAATAAAGCATGGTGATTGCAGCAATTGGCCTGCTGGGGATGGTTTCTTCAACAGCAACGTTTAAACTGTTCACAGTTTTTAAATGTACTCCCTGTGATCCCAGAACTACAGCCTGAAAGCTACGGTAAGTAAAAAATAAGAAACAAGACAGGATGGTAGACCAGGAATAATAGCTAAGGAAATATTTCCTACTCAGAATGGATGCATGCTAAATTGATAGCTTTGTTTATTACCACCATATAAATGCTTACCTTAACAAGAATCCAAAACTGGAAACAGAAATTGAAATCCATTGCTGTGTTTTACTCTTTAATACAAACACAAAATGTGTTTCTTGCTCAGAGGTGTATAAATTACTAAGGAAAAATTGCTAAATAAAAGTAAAAATCTCTTAACAGAAAATTACCTTGATAAAAGTGAAAGTCACTGATAATAAAAGTACTTTTACTTTTGAAAAAAAAATATTTACTGGTACAATAAAAAAACAACTTATTGCATCCTCACAACTACAATCAGTTAGGCATGTGGAGGACAAACACTGATTCCATTTAAACAAATCCTTTCATGATAATTTTTAGTCATATTTTATTTGCTAGACAGTAGGACTGTCACAGAATTTTAAGTAAAAAAGTAAAAGTACAATTGTACTGAGGTTGGTGCAAAAATAACCTGTTTTCCTCTTGAAAAGGAAACTTTACATTAACCTGAAATGAGGCCAAAAAAGCTGACAGACACTCGGAAGAGTCTGACAGGCAACTTTTAATTTTGTCAGAACAGTGATTTTATTTTTCCCAAAAAATATTTTTATATTTTGTTCCAGGTAGAGATGTGCTGGTAAATGTATGCCTTTTAGTTTGATTAGTTGATAGGATTATTATGCAACACTACCCCCTGCTGGTCAGAATTTAGAGGTGATGTCCAACCAAGTCAGTAAGGAATCTATTCCTTATCTTTTTCCCTAACATTTTTTTCCGCCTAATTTTGATAATCAACAATAAATGCTCGCAAGATTTAGCAAAAAATGGTATGAAACACATGTTTGTGATTTTCTTTAATAGAAAAAATACAAACAGAAGGAACTTTTAACTCAGTGTAAGGATTAATATTATTTAACCTATTAATGCCCATGGTTGTTGTAGAAATAATTGCAGATCTAGTGTGGTTTCTGGATTCAGTATTGGTATAAAAAAAAGGATACTTTTTTAAATCAGTTCTAAGGAGAGTTTTTTTCCTTTACTTTAAAGTATAAATGGTAAATTGACTGAATTTTCCAACTGTTGCAGGGGTTAAATGTCTTGTCCAAAGATGACGATATGTGAACCTGGAATCAAACCCACAACTTTAGATGACAATGTTGTGTGTGGAGTTTTCTGCATCCCCATGTGTAATAATGTGAAGTGGAGGTTTTGGATCCTCTGCCATGTTCAAATTTATGGGATGCGTCCTCCGAAGGCCAGATT